CAATCACCTTTTTCTGTCCGGTTTCAGCCCTCCTCATTCTGTTCGTACAGAAAACCTGTGACCTGTCGTGTTTATTTCCTCAGGCCCAGGCAAAGGCAGCGCCAGTACATCCGCAGCACGTGGCTGACGGCTCCCAAAAACACGTGGCCACGCTACAGCAAAACAGGTGAGGCTTTCGGTGCCGTGCTGCCGCTAGCCCACGCCGTGCCCGTGCTGGCACAGACGGCTGCTCCCGCCAGCCTGGCTTTCCTAGAGCCTCAGCATGTGGAAACTGGAGCTGCTTTCATCAGCTGTCAGGCCCAGGCTTTTTGCTGGCTGATGCAGAAAGGGAGCTGCTCGTTGGAAATGCCTCCTCTCTCTGTCCTGTTGTATCTCGGCGCTTGAGCTTTTTTTTCCCCTGTTATTTTGGGTAGCGGGTGGATAATGAGAAATATCCATGGGGAGGGCAAACTACCTGGCCTTCTTGGGTGGGTTTTGGATGTTGACTCATGAAAGGAGGGAAAGGAGTGGAATTCTCTGGGAGTTTCTGGGAATTAGTCTGCCTTGGAGCCAGTGAATGAGCTTCCTGTGTGATGGGAAAGCAGAAGAGCCGCTCTGGCGGGCGGCACCCGCATCTTCGGGGTGACCCAGCGCTGAGGGACCTGGTGGGGTTGGGAACGGTCAGGGTGAGGTTCATGGTTGGGCTGGAGGAGCTGCAGGGGCTTTTCCAACCCAGATGATCCTGTGAATCCCCGCACCCTCTAGGTATCGCCATGCAGCTGGTGGACACCCGGAGGGGAGTGCAGCACTTCACATTCGAGCACCATCGCGAGTACCAGCAAGTGCAGTTCAAGTTCCTGGACGCTGTCGAGTCCATGGACCCCAACAACATTGTGGTATGTTGTGACAGCGGGTTGCCTGTGCTGTGACCTCCTTCACCCCCTTTCTCCGGCGGGTCGGGGTGGGCTGATGCGTCCCCGTGCTTAGGTTTGGGGGTTTTTGTCTCATTTTGAGCCGTAGAGCCCTGTGCCCCTCTGTGTGGGGCGAGGCAGTGTTGCCTGCTGAGCTCTGCTTTCACCTCATGAGTAAGAGAAGTGGCCACCTCGGTGCAAACGAGGTGCAGTGGCTGGTGGCCGAGCCTCAGTGGCTCTGCCTGAAGGCGTGCCAGGTAGCCCCTCTGGAAGAGGAGCCTGCAGGAACTGACCGTTGGGCTGAAAAGGCAGGGATAAAGCTCCCTTGTCTCAGCTCTTCAGGGACAGGGGCAATACTGTATAAACCCATCTTTAAATGGGAGCCTAAACCAACAGCTGTTGTATTTATAAACTCTTGCATGGATCAAAAATATGTCTTTTCTTGGTATTTCAGCAAAACAGTCTTTGTGTTGAAAGTTTTTCATGCGTGTCCAAGCTCATTAAACTGTATGGTAACATTTATGGTGTGTAGTGATAAGCAACAGTAAAATTGCTCTGCGCCCTACTGAACCATAACCGAGGTATTTTTGCTCTGAAAACCCTGGCCACATGAGCTCAGATCCATGCCCTGGAGAAGTTTCTTAAAGAGGCCATTGTCTACTAAATAAAGTTTACTTCCTTCTGCTTTCCCACCCTCTGCTCGTGGCCGCTGCTCTCTCCAGCTCATCAGTCCTGCCTGCTGACTGGACCGAGGGCTTCGCCGTGGTGCGGGGCATTGCTGCGCCGCAGGGGCGGCCCTGGGGGCCGGTGTCCTGAGGAGGGCTCAGACACGGCCCCGCACGGCTCTGCAGAGGAGCGCGGGCTTTCCGTGGCACGTTTTGGTGTTTGTGCTCTGTCCCTGGCTACGTTTGACAATATTCCCACAGCTTTAGTCTTCCACTTTTCTATTAAACATAATAATCTACCAGATGGGTTCATCGATGCTGGAAGTACCTCAAACCCCCAAGCAGTTTCTCTGTGATAGCTGCAGTCCCAGCGCAGCTGGAGCCTTGCTGCTGTGGTTTCACCATGCAAAATATTGAGGGGTTTTGTAGGGGGAGGTGTGTCCTGCTTGGTAAGTGGGTTTTCTGCAATTGCCCAGGGTCTTGCTGGTGAAAGCGTGTGTGAAGAGCACTTTTCCCCATCCCAGTGATGCTAGGTGCTCCATCTCTTCCAAAAATGAGGACTAGAAAGGAATTTAAGAGCAAGGAAGGGGTGAAACATCGGGCAGGTGGCACCGAGGCAAAGGCGTTGGACTGAGGCAGCCTAGAACATAAAGGCTTTGCGCTGTAGGTGGCCACGCTGGCCACTGCCCTGCAGGTGTGCCACTTCAGGAGCTTTTGAAGCTGTATTTTTTCAGTTTGAGGGGAAAAAAAAATAATCCCAAAACTGCGAGGAGATTTGAAGTAGCTTCAGTATTTTCATACTGAAATGGAGTTTTAGGTACTTAGAAAAAAGTAGCCCATTTATAATATAATTAGTGAATGCAGAGGTTTTCTGGGTGTGGCCAAACTTCTGTGCTGAAACCTGGAAAAAAATATTTTTAATCCATTACCATTCAGGAGCTGGATCCTGGATTTGTGATAGATGTGTCATAATGTCCTCGCAGTACCCAGGGGAAGCAAAAGCCTGATCAAATGATCAGAATTATGAAGGGATAGAGAATGAAACAAAAATGTAATTATGCCTGCTGCCTGCATCTGGAATATTGCGCGCAGTTCTGGGCCCTCAGCTTCTGAAGGACGTGGTGGGGCTGGGGGAGATCCAGAGGCCAGCAGAGATGGGCAAAGCCCGGCCTCAGCTCGGGGAAAGCTGGGAGGGCTGGCAGGGCCCTGCCCGAGGGAAGCTGGGATCCTGCGTGGGGCTGGGGAGCTCTCCCTGCCCGCCAGGTCGGGATTAAAGGCAGAGCTCTGCGCTGTGTGCTCAGGCCTCGGCTTTGTGCAGAGCTGGGGTGCTGGAAAGGTACCTGGGTCGGCGAGTGAGCAGATTCGCGAGAGGAGATGCTCTGAATGGCATCTTTGAGGGGTGGGGGGTCCCCGAACCCCTAAAGGTTGGCAGCTTAAGTGTGCTGGGAGCCGCCACCAGCGTGCCTGGGAAAGCGGTGACTTGTACCCTCGTGTAATCAAGCTCGTGCTCTCCTGTAGCTGCTGCTTCAGATGAACCCGTACCACGTGGACTCCCTTCTGCAGCTCAGCGATGTGTGCCGCATGCAGGAGGACCAGGAGATGGCCCGCGATCTCATAGGTAAGAGCTGAGGAGCAGATGTCCTGGCCTGAATTGGCGATCAAAGGCTTCTTGTTCCGTTCTGGTTTCGTTTCAGCAGAGAAGCAGCAAACCAGAAGGGTTGGTTTGGCTCCGTGTCTGTCTCTGGGGCCTGAGCACTCGGCCTTTTGTGGTCCTGCCCACCAGCAGCTTTTGCTGGAGGCTTTTAGAGCCGGACGTGCTTGTCTGGGGGAAAACTCATCAACATTCACCTTCCAAATGAACGGAGGGATTATCCGGACGTGGCGGGGTCCCGCCTGCGGAGTGTCTTTGGGGGAGGAGGGTCTGATTTAGCAGCAGCACCACGTTGCCCACCTTGAGAGACTGACCGTGGCCTCTGGTGTTGGCCGTGTTTGGGAACGGCGCGTGTGCTCTCCAGCACGATGAGAGAAGCCAGAGGCAAAGCAGGGACAGGATTTTTGGCTTCCCCGTGTGCAGATAGCTGTGGCAGAGGCAGCTGTAGCAGCCTCAGTCCCAGCCCTCCTCCAGAAGAGTTCCTTTTCACAACCAGAACGCGCTCGAACGCCCACAGATGGGATCGGGGCTCGCTCGTCTGCTGCCAGCACGTGCTCGGAAGTGGCTTTGTGCGTTGCTGAGCTGGGAACTCATTTCACAGCGGCCAGAGCTCTCGATTGTCTTCTGGGCCAGAGGGACTGCTCTTTGGGGAGCGCGGGGGGTGGCATGGCCTGACGCTGTCCTCGCTGTCCGCAGAGCGGGCGCTGTACAGCCTGGAGTGCGCGTTCCACCCCGTCTTCAGCCTCACCAGCGGGACCTGCAGGCTGGACTACCGGCGGCCAGAGAACAGGTAGGCAGCACTCCTGCCTGCCCTGTGGCTACCAAGAGCCCTCATGGCGTGCTCTGGCCTGCCTGGGACACGGAGACCCAGATCCACGGCATGTGCTGCTCCGGGGGGGGACCTTGAACGTCCCTTTCTGTCTGGACAAGCTCGGTGGCCGGTGGCAGCGCCCCTCAGCAAGACAGCGGGTGGGTGCTGGGCTACCGGCAGCTCTGGCACTGAGGTTTCTTTGCAAGCACCCTCTTTCCCGAGGGATTTCTTACTGGAGCAGGAGCTGTTCCTCCCCATCACGTCCCTCTCAGGCAATTAGTGCCCCTTAGCCCAAAACGACACTTATTTTTGTCACAAAAACACTGTCTGCATGTTTTACGGCTGTGCTCGGTCACTTGTGTGCTGCCTGCCCTGCCACCAGCCCCGGCCCTCATGCTGCTCCCGGCCTGGCTCTTTACGTAATGACAGCTCTGCAGCTGCGGGGAAAGGTGACTTTATTCTGGGAATTTTCCAGTCAGCTGACCCAAGTCATCTCTCCCAAACTGCCGTACCTGGAGGTTGATCAGATTTCCAGCACCTGCTCACTGCTGGGCTTCGTGCTGTCTGTGACCTGAACGCTGTGATCTGGGTCTCGCCCCGCTGGGGTGTCAGCCCCCACCCTGTGTGCGTTGTGCAGGCTCCGTGTCACCGTCCCTGCACGGCTGGGATGAGGCAGGATGCAGACTGGGGGGGATTTACTTGTTTCTGTTGTCTGTGAGTTGTCGGCCCCGGTCTGCGGAGCAGCCACGGCTTTGCTGTCCCTGTGGATGTACAAAGAGATTAAAAAAATAAGAGATGGGAACGTGGGGGTCTGTGGCACCCCATGCTGCACGGGGTGGGTTCCCTGGGCCCCCTGGCTGTACCGCAGCGCTGATGCTTGGGGGTCGGGGAGCTGTGGCTGCCTGGGTGTCCCCGTTCCCAAGTGGCTCGAGGGTGCTTCTCTCCAAATCTGGCTGCTAAACCCTCTTGCTGTTCCCCACGCAGGGCTTTTTTTCTGGCTCTCTTCAAGCACCTGATGTTCCTGGAGAAGCGAGGCTGTCCCCGGACAGCCCTGGAGTTCTGCAAGTTGATTTTGAGGTAGGTGCCCCCCGCCGAGGGCTGCGGCCCGTTCCCTGTGGGGTGGGGCAGAGCGTCTCGGGCCTGGGGGAACGCGCTTCGAACACCGCACCTAGCCCGGGCGGGATGGAAACCCCGGGGGTGTTCTGCTGCTCCCAGGCTCAGCCAGGGCTTGTTTCCACTCCTTACAGATGCAGCATCACGGGTTAGTTTTGGGCCCGTGCTCTTACCTGTGGTGCTGCTTTGGAGAGAGGTGATTGCTGCGAAGGAGGCTTAAAGAGATGGCACTGGGGTGGCCCTTGCTCTTGGCTACTGAGCTGTGGGCCTGGCTGGTCCGCAGAGCCAGGAGTCTCTGCAGAGCAGATGTACAACGGTGGTTTCATCCTGCTCAGTTTGTGGCTGTTGATCCCCCTCCTGGGGGGGTGACAGGGGGACTGTCACCCCTCTGGGGGTCGCAGACCTGGCCGGGCGTTGCACCATCACCCTGGCCGGGCAGGAACAATCCTCTTCCCCTTCTCTCTACTTGCTGAGTCATGGAAGCTCGGGGCGCCCGTGGGAAAGTCTTGTTTGACTTAAAAACGAGGGCAGCTGCCTCAGCTTTTGTGACACTGATTTGTTTCCTCCCTTCGTGCTCGCCTCCCTCCGAAGCCTTGATCCAGAGAACGACCCGCTGTGTGTGCTGCTGCTGATTGACTTTCTGTCCCTCCGAGCTCGAGAATACACCTTCCTGACCCGCATCTTCCAGGAGTGGGAGGTGAGGTGCCACCGGGCAGCCTGGGGCCGCCAGTGGAGAGCGGGTCCTGGGCTGGCACGCTGTGCCACAGAGCAGGAGGTTTTCCTGTCCAGGTTAGGATACAGCAGCCTTTGAGGGCTGTCTCACGGCCAGGCTGGCATCCCAGCAGCGTTGGAATGATGCATAAAAGCTCGGAGGGGGGTGGTTGTTCTTGTAATCCCGGTACCCTGCAAACAGTTGTACAAACTCAAAACTGCTTACTCGGTTGTGGGGGCACCAAGCCAGCAGCTGGAAAGTCATTTAATCCAGCAAAGCAAGAAACCCCACCCTGTGAGCAGCCCAGCCACATCGAGATCGTTCTGCAGAGCATCATTTCTCGGTAAATCTCTCTCTGATCCTGCAGAGTCACCGGAATTTGTCCCAGCTGCCCAATTTTGCCTTCTCGGTGCCGCTGGCCTATTTCTTCCTGAGCCAGCAGGAGGAGCGCTCGGAGCTGGAGATAAGCCAAGCCCGGGAGAGGGCGGCCCGGCTCATCCAGCTCGCGCTGATCATGTTCCCAAGCGGTAAGTCTGTCCCCACCGGTAAGTCCATCCCCGCAGGCTTTGTCACCATCTTCATCCGTGAGAGCGAAGGCTGGATTCCAGGCCGTGGAGCGCAGAGTTTGCCCGTGGGTTGCAAACAGCGTTGGCCTCTGTCCGTGGGAGATGGGAGCTCTGACTCAGAGAGGGCGAGGCAGCTCGGGCGGGCCGGCGGCAGGTCCTGCCGTACCCACGGCTGGTGTGGGGCAGGGGGATTCCGCTTTCCCACCCCGCACCGTGCCAGGCCCGGCCACGCCAATTCGGGCCCCGGCAGCCGTGAGCTGTGTCGGGAGGAGATGGGTGGCTCTTCCCCCTCCTGCACACCCTTGGAGAACTGATGCCCCCTCGTTAGAGACGGTCACGGCCGTGCGAGTTGGGGAAGGATGAGAACTGGAGTCTCGGAGCAGGGAAATGTTTCACCTCAGAGTTGCTTGGGCCAGAGACAACGTGTCTCTCTTGGCTTTCCCTCCGAGGCACCGCTCTGCTTCAGATGTGCTGCTCTCTCTGGGCGCCCATTGCTCTTGCTTTCATCCACTCACTGCTGCTGTCCATGAAAGGAGATATACAGCCCCTCAGGCCCCGAGGAGGGTGTGTCTGTATAGGCAGGAATAACCAGCTCTCAAACAGAGGTTTAGTTTGTGTTGGCGGAAACCATCTTTTCTGCTGCTTGTCACGGTGACTGAAACAAAACCCTTGTTCAAGTTCAAAGGCCAGCCACGCTAAGTGCAGAAAATGGCACCTTGCTCCACTGGGGGGACCGAAAACCAAAAAAGTTTGTTTTTCCTTTACTCTGCCTCTCTTTCCATCATCCCCGCCGAGATCCATACGCAGCATAAACCCCAGCAGCATCCTGTCGTGGGCCCTTGGTCAGCGGCACGGTGGGGTGCTGGCCCCCCGGGACGGGGCTGTCTCCCCGCAGCCCTGACCGGCCGCTCCGCGATGCTCCTGGCCAGGGCTGTTGCCAGCGACCTGTCTGACTTTCTCCTGCAGTGCTGATGCCACTGTTGGACCGCTGCAGCGTGCAGCCTGACGCCAGGGTTGCGTCCCATCCCTTTTTTGGGCTGAATGCTCAGATAAGGTAAGCCCTGCAGATGTTCTCGGGAAAGAGGAGGAATGGATTTGGCAGTAGTGGGGCTTTTGCTTGCTCAGGCAGCTAATGGAGTTACAGAGCTGCGGAGGAGGGTATTTGGTTTTCCCGAGTAGGCTGTTAGCTGCTTTGATAATGGATTTCCATAATGGCCACCAGATAATGCTCTCAGACCCACCTCACCTTAACGCGGCGGGTCAGAAGTTCACACCAAAGCTTGTCGGTACACGCAGTGAGAGAGAACAACATGTGTGTGCTCTCAGGGCAGGCTGTCTCCTACCAGTCTGGATTTCCCTGACACGTGGTCCTCCCAAACACACGAATGCTCTCCCCCTCGGGTCAAGGCAGCGTTAACTCTCATCTCGTGGCTACGCTTATCCCAAAAATAGACGGAGGCAGAAAAACTGGTGAAGGTAGATGGAAATAGCAAAGCAGGGAGACTGCGATTCCTCTCTTCGTGTTCTCCCGCCGAAGCACGGTGCAGAGACGAGCCCTTGCCAGCCCACACGGGGACCTGCAGGCGGGAAGGAGGAGAGTGCCCTGAATAACAAGTGTCTCCCGTAGCCAGCCTCCCGCCCTGAACCAGCTGACGTCCCTCTACGTGGGAAGGACTCACTCCCTCTGGAAGGACCCAGCCGTGATGGCCTGGCTGGAGACCCAGGTCCACGAGGTGTTGCGCATGGTGGACGCCCGGGACCCGCTGGTGGAGGATTCTGAGCACAAGTGAGTGCAGCGGGCGGAGGGGAGCGGCTCTGCCACCTGCCCTGGGGATGGAGCGAGCCGGGGTGAGCCGGGTCCTGGGCTGCTGCGGCGCTGCCCGGGCGGGCAGAGGCTCTTCTGGGCGCTGGGCGGGGAGCGTGTGCCACGCTGGCTTCCCCTGGCCTCAGCCCTTGTGTGTGCCCTGGGGACAGCCCAGGAGGGCACCGCTCACAGGCAGGGGGTGCTTAGAAACACTTCCCAGCCCTGAGCAGCAGCAGGGGGGCGTTAAGTCTTGTCCTAAACTGGAGTTAGTTTGCTCTGCCGAGCTGCAGAGGAATGGGGTGGGCAAGGGAGAGGTGCCCGGTGTCCCTGAGCTGTCCTGCCCTTTCATCTGAGAGCAGCAGCTGCCCAAACGACTTTGGCTTCGCCTTAAGCCAGCTCTGCCCGGCACGGTGTGGCCCCCAGCACCGGGGACGGAGCTGCCGCCGCACCTAGAGCAGCAGAAATGGAAATCTGGCTGCGCTGAGGCGCGCCCGGTGCAATCCCCAGTCCCCCCTCCCCGCTTTAGGAGGAAGATGCGGTACCAGAGCGCGCCCAGGAACATCTACCGCCACGTCATCCTCTCGGAGATGAAGGAGGCGACGGCAGCTCTGCCTCTGGTGAGGGGCCCCGATGGGGCGCACGCGGTGTGGTGGCGCTCGCCTCCCTGCTGCGGGCGCTGGGTGCGTCTCCAACCCCGGCCACCCCCAAAAAAGCAACTGTCTGACCTCGGTGCGTCCTCCCGGCCACAGAACCCCCCGCCACGAAGGGCTGTCCGGCTGCTCCCACCATCCCCCTGCCTCGGTGTCCGCCGCTGCCGGTGACGTGCCCTTCACCCCTTCTTTCTTCTCCCCCTCCAGGAGGTGACTTCGCAGCCCGTGATGGGGTTCGACCCTTTACCTCCTCTGGACTCCATCATTTCCTACACCAGACCAGAAAGGTACTTTCTCCAGCCCTGGTTTCTGCGCCGGCACAGCCGGCGCATTCCCGGCGCGCCCTCAGCCCCGGGCCTGGGTGCACGTGGGTGCTCGGAGCCGACGTCTTCCTCCAGCTCGGAGGAAGAGCAGCCAGGCCTGCGGTGCTCGCCCAGAGGCAGTGCGTACAGGCAGGACTGGTCCTGCTGCTTCTCCGTGGTGGTCACGGTCCGCGACGGCGGCTGTTCACAGCCATTGAGGCAAAGGCTACTGGAAAAAACTTTTTTTAAAAAAAAAAAGTTTTGACTGTTTAACTGAGGTGGTTTAGGGTAAATACAGGTTTAAGCACAGCCTTGGTGCAGCCTGTACTTGTCTTACGCACTGACCCAGCTCAGAGTAAACCTGATAGTGCTTTTGGTGACTGCTTCGTACAGAGGCTGGCCGGGTGCTGCCTGCCTGGGCTGAGAAATCCACAGAAATCCCCCAAAATCCCCCAATGCCCCCTGTCAGGGCTGGCTGGGGTGGGGCTGTGGTTCTCTCCAGCATCCTCAGCCAGAGGTCGAGTCC